AAAAAAGAAACTGAAAAAAAAGAGCCCATTCACTCCCCTATTTAACGGGTCCGGCTTCGAGCCACTTCGTCTGAATTCGCATCCCTTGCCTGTCCAATTATCGCTTGCGTGACTTCTTTCCACCTCCACGGCCTTCTTCATCATTGAGGCCACTCTCACGGTCGCGCTTCCTGGCCTTCTTCTCCATCTCATCCCAATCTTCGCCCTCATCCTCACTATCGATGTCAGCCTCTTCATCATCGTCATCATCGCTGGCGTTGCTTCCAAAGTCGGAATCTTCCTCGCTAGACTCGGACACTTCATCCATCTCCTCGTCCATCTCGAAGGCCGATTCTTCCTCGGACTCGTCTTCGGCGCCGGAATCGTCCGAGTCGGCCTGCAGGAACGACCAACCACCATCGACGAAGAATTGATGGGTATCTTGATTAACTGTCTTCATAATGGTCGGCCAGTTGAGGTTGAGAGGACCCTCGGTAAAGGCAATGTCTGAAGAATCCAAGAAATCCTTGACCTGGTCGAGGAACTCGACGGGAATGGTGTTGATGTGATATGGAGCACGTGTAAAGTCCTTGAAGACGAATACCATGTCAAAGTTCTTCAAACCGAACTGGACACGCTCTAGATGGGCGACTTCAATGTCTTCAATGGTGATGACCATGAATGGGGGTTCAACAACCTGGATGAGGCAGTCGGTGGTTGGCTGAATGAAGACGTTGCTGCGGAAAGGCACGCCGTTGAATCCGAGGTCCCGGATGGGCATATCAACCTCGATGTTCTCATTGCGGCCGGCTTCGGCAATCTTCTGGGCAAAGCCCTGGAATAGCCTGTCCAATTCGGCGCGGCGACGTCGCTCTTCTTGCTCGGCCTCGAACTCGTCCTCGTCTCCATAGCGATACTTTCGCTTTCTGTTACCAGTCTCATCAAACTGGATGTCGGTTGCTTCACGGTAGAACTGCACATCCTTGGTTTTCTTCTTATTGCCCACAATGATGGGGTCTTTAAGATGGATGTGGATGATGACAATCAACTCGTGCTGACAAGGCTGGAAGAAGAGGTGCTTGACGTTTGAAAAGAGGATATCCACGCGATGCTGAGCGTTGAGAGGAGACTGATATCGGATACCATTCTGGTGTATCTCGACCTTTCCAGGCACTCTCTTGCCCTCCATGGCTGGTCGGATATACACGTTGTCCAAAACAGCCGGGCGACGGTCTTGGCGGAATGAGTTAGCATCCAGTATTCAGGCATGGGCACTTTCAGCGCTGGGGGTTTGGACTTACTTCTGATTTCTGCCAGCTTGTCTTGCTCCACCACATCCTCCATGTCCTTCTTCTCTTGCTCCTTCTTAACGACATCGCGCTTCAGGTTCGAGATATGAGTAGCTATCTCACTATATCTGTCTCCGTCGAGCGATCGGAATGTCAAGCTGCGAACAAAGTGGGCGGACGCGTCCTCAAAGGGCTGATCGTCCTTTCTACCGACACCCTGGCCGGGCGAGAGGAAGTTTATCCGCAAAAAGGCGAATTCTCCCTCGTCGCTCTTACTGGCATTCTTGATGGTGTTGATATGGAACGGGACAGGCCGTCCCATGATGGGGAGGACGACAGTGCTGTTCTTTGAGTCGACGATAATCTCAAGGTTCTTGATCTTCAAGGGGAACTGATTGTCCCGCTTGTACGACTCGAAACGCTTGAATTTCTTCACCTCTCCGCCATTTTGCCCACTGGTTGACTCGGAGAATCTGGCCAAGCCTTCCTTCTGCTTCTTAGAAGCCAGTTCCTTCTGATGCTCTCGGCGCTTCTTGTCCGCGTCATCGTCCGTTTGTGTGGTGCGTTCGGAGCGAAGGCGAGTGCTGGTAATGTTCTTGGTGGCGACGGCGCCAACTCTGGAATCCTTCTTCTCCTTCTTGGGCGTGGGCTGTGCCTCCTCATCGTCCTTGAAGAAGAATGAGTTGGCGTCGGCGCTTGTCGGCGCTTCAGCGGTGAAAACCACCGGCTCGGCAGCTGTTACTCGAATGGTATCTGTCAGAACAAGTGAGTAAATCTTGCTGTTCTTGTCTTGAGGCTGTGGGTTCTCAATATCCTGGAATCCGGTATTGATGATCAAAGTCATTCCGTCCTTGAGAACTCGCTGGTTCTTGGCACTCAGTACAAGAGTAGGGTCTCTGTTCTCCAGGCCAACACCCCAACCGACATTCTTCAAGAAGTGCTTCTCCATTTCTGGCTTCTTGCTCTTGATGACACCCAAAGCCTTGGCGTAGACATCCTTCGCAGTCATGCCATCGCGAATCTCCTTGATGATTGTGTTGTGCACCATCGAAAGAAGCTTGTAGTTGCTCTCCTGAGACTTGTTGGGATCCACCAGGTACGTTCGCGCGATCGTTGAGCAGTATGACTTATATCGCAGACCCAAGGCGGCGATAATGATACCAGCGTGTAAGTTGTCGTCATTCGGGTCGGTAGAAAACCGCAGATCGTATTTACCACCACTCTGAATGGAGGGGGGCAAGATCCAATCCAGCTGCGCGGGGTCGAGGTCCGAGGGCAGCTTGCCTTTGCTGGGGAGCTCGACAGTCTTCCAGAAATTGTTATCGTCAAGCTTCTTATCTACCTTGTCGGCAAGAACGGAGTGCTTGACTTTCTTCTCGGCATCGAGAATGTTGGACATTTCGTCGAGGAAGTAGGGCGTCATGAGGGCCACGCAAGCCTTGGAAGCCGTTCGCATCGCTCGTAGTTCGCTTTCGTCTTTGATGGAGAAGGCATGAGTGGACAAGGCGGTGGAGATGTCGACCTCCTCGACATCTTTGCAGTGTTCGCCAAACACCTTCTTCCACTCTTCGACGAACGGGCCCTTGGACGTATCCTTGGAGATGACGCCGACTTTCTTCTGTTGTCAAAATGCGTTAGGTTTTAAGCCTGTAGGTATAAACGAATTGGCATTGAAGGTGGCCTTACCCCCGCTTCTTTGATCTTGTCTGCCACAGTGACAAACAGCTTCTCGTTTTCGGCTGCATCCTTGCCTCTGACAAGCACCTCGATGGGGAAACGGCCGCCCTTGAGCTGTTCGAGATGTTTTGCTGCGTCGAGTGTTAGCATTCGGCAGTGCCTCGCAGTGGCGCGGCCTGGTTGATGGGCGATTCACGATTCACGTACCCTTCTTTTGCGTGGTGAGAATGTAGAGAGTGTCGACGGTGAAGAGCATCAGGGTCGTCGGAAACTCGTAGCCCAAAAGCCAAAACTGAAAAACGACATTAGCGTTCACGGTCGGATTGCAGCGGTGTCGGGGCGCAGGCTGGCTCTTACGTGAACGGCGTTGTTCTTGTGGAATTCGGGAACCTCCTCGACCTTGCCCATCATGATGACGAAGGACGAGACGCCGCCAAAGAGCCCATCCTTGGCTCGGAGGTCATTCTTCCAGGCAGTGACGAAGTGCGAGAGACGCTCCTGGAAGAGCTTGCTGTCGATCTTGATCTCCGCCATTGTGGTTAATAGACGAACATTTGGCGGGAGAGGGAGCTATTGCATGCATCAGAGCCTTGACGCGAAGGAAAAAGTACAGTCGCGTAAAGAGCTGCAGAGGCGGCACGTGACCGAGCAGCTACTGTACATGCGCCTTAGTACCTCCCTCCGTACCTGATGCTCCATACGCGTTCCATCTAGGAATACTGACTACTGCATGACATGAAATGCGGACTTTTCTCTTTATTTGTATAATATTATAAAAAGAATGGTCAAGCACAAGATGGTCTATACCCGCAAATATGCAGCCTCTGATTAAACCCCTTTGTAGGCAACAGCTTATGCAGCACTTGGTGCTAAGAGACGACGGACTTTGAGAGGATGTGATCAGTGATACTTGGCAGATCAACCTGTAAACTTGGTACCGAGGCATAAATTCGCCCACCCTCTTCGAGCAGGTCGTAGTAGTACAGCTCAGTATATAGACGCTTACTGGCCGATTCATCAATGGGTAATGCCACCAGACCTGTCTCTTGCTTGTAGTATATGGAAAGAAATACTACTCGTAAATCTTCCTTGATCAACCTGCATGGTGGAGGGCGCTCCGTATTGGAGGGCTAATGAGGCTCTGCGGCTTTGGATGCATTGTGTGGTGGCATTTACCCCCTGTCTACACTAAACTTGTGTTAGTTACGCCGGACGAGAAACTTATATCCTCACGAGGAGACACCTCTGGGTTGTGTTACACTCTGATTCACTAGTAGAAGCCAAAGTCCAGAGCCAAGCAAGGCCGATCCATCGTTCGTGTTAGCCGAGCTGAGAGATCACCTAGACTACCATGTTTTGGCTGTTGTTTGTTGAGCCCAAGCGCCTTTACAGCCGCCCGCCATGGCTGCTCAGCCTTTTAGCTCATTCATGCCGGCTAGTTCCATGATTCAGCGAGCAGAATACAGTAAGCTCCGACAAGATCGAGAGTCTACTACTAATACGGGGGTGTACCCAGAAACTGCCAAGGTATCCCTGTTTGAGGCTCTGTGCGAGGGAGAGTCGAGTGCGGCTTGTGTCTCAAAAGATGCAACTCCCTGTACCAGCGGCCAACTACTTATCCGGTACCTTGTCATTCCGCGACATCCAGCCCGACCTCACCGAACCTTGTCGATTACCTACGATTCTCATCTCTGACTTTGGCATCAATGCGAATGAGAGACTGCCACGGCCTGGGTTGATGTGACTGTGCCCAACTTACGCTTGCAATCACCTGGACGCGTTCCCTGAAATCAAAGTGTTGCTGCCAGCAAGCGCTTGCGGCTCTTTGATGCTCTCGGCGTCTGGCTGAAGTGGTGCGTTGTATCCAAAAAGAGAGAGAAGGAAAAAAAAAAAAAAAAAAAAAAAAAGAGGAGGCGCCGAGGCCTGTCTGTACATATATGCAATCCTTGGCCGTTGACAGTTGCCGGCATCTGAAGGGAAAAGCCCCTCACCAGCTTGCTTGCCCCCTCCCTCTGAACTGACTTAGCATTTGCATCGCCTGTCCAGCTCGCAGCCATGAGTCTCTCCCAGGTGCCTTCTGAGATTCTTCGGCTCATTGCCGTCAATCTTGGACCTGATGATTTATTCCACCTGGCCATCAGCAGCCCCCAATTCCAACACATTCTGTATGATGCTGTCATATGTCGAAAGGTCCTGGAGGTTCGTTTGTCACCGCAACTTTGCATCTATTCGTACTCACCAGGAAATGCTAACTCGGCACGCTTCTTCCAAAAGAGCATCAAGTTTTCGTCAGGCTACATGCAAGAGGCAGAGCGTGAAACCGGCAAATATGACAAAGCGCTGAGGAGGCTCATCAAGCGACGCGAGGCTCTCCAGATGGCAAGGCCGTTTCATGTGCTGGAAGTCTCCAGCGAAGCTCTCCAATTTACCTACACAAACGGCGCCTTGTGTTACACTACGAGGCAACTCTCGCCTGTCTACAAGCACCGTCTGCGAATCCTGACTCTCGAGGGCCCTTCTGTCGAAGAAGTAAGCATCGATATCCCTAACCTCATAAAAGACTGTGATATTCCCAATCTTGAAGAAAATCTACCCTACCAATTCAGGCCGCTGTATTATGCAGATGGCATAGTTTCGTGCTTATACGAGCAGAAAAAACCCCATACTTCCATCCGCTGGTTGATCATATACAGCCTTAAACAGGGGGGGATTCTCAATGCCCGCTCTCTGCTTTCGACTGCAAATATTTTCGTCCGCAACAACGGCCAATATCTATATTTCGGCACAAAGTCTTATCCAAGCCAGGGGCGGCGCCGATGGGTGCTCCAAGGCTTCTCCCTGATAGACTCAACATGGTCTAGTCACAGAACCATTCTCTGGGATTTGGCTGGTGCCGAAATGGGGTCGACCATCTGCTTTGAGATCTTTGGCAACCATCTGTACGGCGTTTCTAGCCAAGAGTTGGCCGGAGTCGAAGAGTATGAGTGGGACTCACCGGGACATCCGATAGATTCCTTCTATTACGCCTTTCGGCTCCCTCTATCTGACTCTTCCAAGGTTCAAGTCTTGCCAAGATCAGCTCTGTGGCGGCGAGGTGCGACAGATGGACCAATTGATGACCGCTGGAACCATCTCCAACTTGGGCAGGACGAGAAATCTGGCCGAGTCTCGATTTTTGAAACCAGAAGAGAGTGGCTCTCTTCGTGGAGTCGACGGACCTGCTACCGAAAGCAGCTATTTTGGCCTTCTACACCCGAGAGTACAGACCGCCACCCCGATGAACGTCATGAAGATGAATGCCGCGAAAGTTGGGGCAGCATGACCCATGATGATTCAACCCCAGAGAACAGTATCCATCGTGGGGATACGGGATTTTCCTCTTCAACATTTGACTTCTGCAATACTCCCGTTCGTTCCTACAATCCAAGCTGCCAAGCCTTTGTAGACATCGTGAGCACCACAACAGCAGCCAGTCCGACAGCCAAACGACTCCGGCTGCGGGTCAGGAGACGACCACAGGAGCCGTGCCCAACCTCAGAATCAGGCCATATGCCATCATCACCCACCGAGCGTGCGGATGTTGCCAATGACTCGGCAGATCAATATGTCAGACTATGGCCGGCAGACAATGGAGAGCGAGAGCAAGGGGGTGAACAGCCTAACCAGTCTCTGGATCACTATATCGATGAGATCCTCAACCGTCAGGCTCACTTTGACGAAGTCGACTGGGCAATGGATGAACGGGTTGTCGTCTTTTCTCCCAAGTCTTTGAATTGCCTCGACGAGCCACGGTCCATCATGCTCATTTCGTTTGATCCCGGCCTGAATTTCCAAAACCTGTGCCGTTGGGTTGGGCGCTCGACACCGCCAGTTTCGACGAGCCACCAGCTGAACAAAGTCGGGAAAGCCCCCCCGTGCGGCTCAAGCACGACGATGAATGGGGAAATGGCGGCTCCTCACTCCTCAAAGATCCTAGGGCTTGACTTCACTAGGGAACCCCGGCAGACGGCCCGGTCCACCTCGACACCGAAGGCCTCTCTGAATGGAGTTCCAACCAGCAAGAAGCGACGTCTTGAGGGGGCTTTTATACCAACGAACACGACCCGTATCCATTGTGGATGACTTGGGAATCAACAGCCCGAAGTGATCTATCATTACGCAGATGGAAGTGGCGTGGTTTTGGAATGTACTCATGGAGTACTCATAACAAACCTGCCAGATGGGGGCATACCGCCAATTAGCCCAGGTCGACCGCGAAGAGCCTCTTTGAAACACAAATATGGGGGGATTCTTAGGCAAAAGTTCTCTTGCGACAAATTTTAGTTGCATAAACTGAGAATTTAATTCGCGCAGGCGCTCCTTTTTTGTGTGTGCTTGGGTGTATGTCTATCTCATTACGTTTCATGGGCGAAAATATGCCTTACCGAGGCTGAACCCGACTGGGCGGGCACTTTACAAGTTATGCACGGCTTAATTGCCATGACGAGAGGATCAATTTGGAACATGTTACCTCTCCGTGTCTTTTATGACTTGTCAAGGGCCTTTCTGCCTGGGATGCCAATTTAGCTTGCGTGCAATGCGAGGACAAACGCGATTGGCATTGGTTTAGCGAAGAATGTCGGGCACATTTACAGATACATCACACGCAACCAATTTTCACAACACACATACGACGTGACCAGTCGCTTTCTTAATTTTTCATATGTCAAACTAATACACAGCGGCTTCTCACGGCTCAATGGAATCCAAAAGCCACAGGTTGGGAAACACTACATACGAGTATATGCACGAATGCCTCACATTTGCCCAAGACGCGGCTGGTTTCTTATATACATGACACTTACTTATGTATCTACTATAATATTATTCATCTTGTCTCGTCATTGGTTGCTAGACTTCAGCTGAGCACTCTCCCTTTGTACAATTGTCAACGCGCGATTGGAGGCTCCGTGCCACGCGTGCGTCTTAATGAGTGATGTTGCACAACGGCTTCGTGCAACCTCAACACGTGTGTTGTCGCCTCATGTCGAGTAAATCCACTCATGTCAACATCATACGAATGACTGACTAATGCCAGATAACTCATTTGAATTAATTCTCACCGAATTGGTCACGTCGTCATGGCTGGGACTCGATGCCTTTTGTCTTCCGCTTTAATCCTGATTATCAAAGTACACTATACACATATATAGGCTAACCTGTTGATTCCCTGGCATGCTCTAATAAAGTTTGAGGAAAAAAAAAGAAGAAAAAAAAAGAAAAACCATGGGCAAAGCTCCTTGTTGTGGGGGGGGGGGGGGGGGGGGGGGGGGGGGGGGGGGGGGGGGGGGGGGGGGGGGGGGGG